TGAGATTCAAAATTTACTAGAATTTTAGTGGACTACGAGGTTCACTCTTATCAAAATAAGAATTACTGTCTTTCTTTGTAAGCTTTAATGGAACCTTTGCATTAATTTATGAATGTAATTCAAATGTACTATAATTAATTAACAATTTGTGTCCATTTGCAATTCAAGCCCAGAATCTGATTCCTATTTTTTATGGTCACAAAATCAATTGCACTGCACTTAGTTTCGCACAGTTATTTAACATTCATTTCTCTAATGCAAAGCAATAAAGTGTATTACTGTATCGTTTTTGTCTCGAAGAAATAAAACAGTAACACTATTTATAAAAAATTTATTATGTACCAAATTCTTACATACGTTATGACCTTTCTTACATACTTTATGATCTTGAAAGATTCGAGCAATTTTTTGAACCTAATTATAAGATCAATCAACAGATAGGAATGAGTTGAAATTAAAAAAAAAAATTGGCTTTCGATTTGCAAGGATAATTTTCAAAAATGATTTTGGATCAACTGATTACTATACTAAAATTGATTAAGACTATATTTCAGGTTATTATAACAAGAACTTTTCATTTGCAAATTTATTTTGTTTTTAATTTGCGCTTCGCAAAATTTTTGCTTTTATTCTTTACAAAAAATGTAAAGAATAAAAGGATAATAAGCAACACGAAGACTGAGTGCATAATTAAATTATTAGAATGACCTCAACAAACTAAATTTTTCTTGCGAAAACAAAATGAAATAATATATTTTTCTTAAAATTTGAAGTGCTAATTAATAAAAAGTTTTTAATATTAATTAGAACTTTTTGTAAAACTGTACCATAAAATATGGCTTAGATGGTAAGCTTAGATTGTGAAAAATAAAGATGAAGCATCCAAATAATTACTGCATATTTTTTGCGACTCGCAAAAATATTTACGACATAAAAGCTAAGTAAATTTCGCAAACTTACTTTATGGCAAAGTGCACAATAAAAGTTGCAGAAGTTTTTTTGTTTTTTAAGTATTCTGCAGAATGCATTTGAAAATGAAACTGATATTTTATGGTAATTGAATGAGACAAAGTTTCACACTTTTAGCACAAACAAAGTTTATTTTCTTATTTATTATTAGTATTTTTTGACAAATATTTGCTTAAAAATTTCTATCACATAAATCGCAAATTTTTACAGCAATAAGCGCATAAAGTAGTCATGAATGAATCGGAAAACTAATGAAATTGATGGAACTCACGCAAGTATTAAAAATGCTTGCGTGAATTTCATCATTTTTCCCCTAACTAAAAAATTAATATAAATAAATTAAAATAAAAGTCAATGAGCAAATATATATTTATTGTATATTAATGAAATCAACAAGCAGTTGAAAAATCAGTCCTCTAATAAAGTATGCAAAAGTTTAAAAATGACCGAACACTATCCATATAATACTGCAGTTGATCTTTGCAATTTGGATAGATAAAAAGTTTAAAGGTTAATTGAACTTTTAATATTTCGCGCATATTTACGATTTTATATTCTGAATTTAAGCAATTAAATTATGATAAGCATCGAGTTGCAATCAAATCACTATAAAAATTTCCACTTTATTTGCAATCAACATGGAAATGCTAGTGATAAAGTTTAATATCTTACATGTAATAAGTGCGGAAATATTAATGATAGAAAGTTTTGCGATAGTATTTCTTTGTAAATAAAAATAATAATTCTTGCGATAATATGTCTTTGTAAATGAATTAGAAAAGATTATACTTTGCAGGAGCTTTTCCAGTGCTAAAAATTATTCTAAACTAACTTTTTTGCTGATTATTGATAACTTTCAATTTCAAATTATTCAAATGTAATTTATTAAAAAAGCAAAACCTCAAAATAATTTATCATTTTTGATGTTTGATAAATGTGCTTGAGAAATGCCTATTTATTTTTACTGCCAATATTAATGTTTGGCAATTATTCAAACTAACTTATCAATGTTGAATTCATTCAGAGTTATGAGCATTTATTATCAATGAAAAACTTGAAACAGAAGGCTTTGTGGAAATTTGTAAGTTTTTTAAACATTTTTTGATATAAAATATGTTTTTTATTGTATGAATGAATTCATTTAAAACATTTACATAATGTAAGATAAGTGACTGAGCTCAAACTTATGTGTCAGTACTCATTTACAATTTTGTATTCAAATACCCAACTGAAATTATTTGTAAATATTATATATATTTTTAAATAATACCATAAAATATGTTAATATTACTAAAAAAATGTAAAATTACTATTTAATAATTAGATTTGTAGTTTTTTGCCATTTTTGAATGCTTTCAGTTAATTAATAATTGAATTTTCTTTACGTTTACATAATTTCGATTTGTTTTCGAGTAAATCACAACTGCATTGGAATGGCAAATAAGAGATAGTAAATTACGCGCTGGTTCTATATTTCTGTTTACTTTTTATTCATTAATTTATCCGTACGTATTACTATTACTTTATTTTGGTTCATTATTGTTAGTTTTCAAGGAAATTCGCAAGTCGTTTTCAAAAATATCAGCAAATCTTGAATTTTTCTCCATCATACGTAATAATAATTAGTTCTTATTTCATTGCAGTCAGCATTAAATTATGCGTAAACATTCTGAAGTGCTTTCAGTTTTTTCCATTTTCATAATTGAAGAATGGCAAAAGTGAAAAAGCATAGAATAAATCTAAAAGTTCAGTGGTAAAGACAACTTATCAGAAATTTTCCAAATTATAAAAGTAATTTAGACATGCAATCTCATTTTTATCATAAAATTTCGGTTATTTTTTGACGAAAATTGAAAATATTTAATCCATTAATTTGCATATATGTCAACTATGAAGGAAGTCATATACGTTAAAAATGCGTCACTCATTCAAATTGCTTACTTAAATTTGGACTGTAAAGAAATTTGTCCAAAACTGTGAATGCAGTTGTATTGTTACAGTATTTGGAAGGAATCTGATAGAAACTGATAAAAATAATGCAAATTTTGGCTAAGAATATTATTCCAAATATTTATAAAATATAAACAATTCAAATAAA